TTGCCGATCTTGCCCCTATACCCGGGGCAACTTCGTCAATTTCTCTCTTCTTGTAAAGTTGTAATTATTTTAATTATTTTTATTTCCAAACTGATTTTAACCAGTTCTATAGTAAGGTAACATTCCAATAGACAATATGCAAAGCTTTTTTTTCAGTTTACAGCAGTATTTATTACACAAAATTTAAGTAAAGCTTAACATGCCGATCTTGCCCCGATCTCCCCTAATTATCTTAATCTTCACTATCGTTACTTTTTGCCCACAAATAAAAACCCAGCGAAGCGGGTCCTTGCAGCTAGTTAATTATATTTTTTTGTTACAGTACAGTATATATAGAGTTTGTAAAATTTAATTTCTGAGAAAATAAAATCTCGAATATATATAATCACAAAATTTTATAACTTTTTTAAATTTGTATAAATCTTTAGAGAAATAATAGCTCGATGTTTTGACATTAAAATGACAATTTACTTACATTATGTATCTTTAATAATAAGGAAATTGAAAAATTATTATACTTTTTCTCTTGCTCTCATTTTTATTTCTGTTGTACCGCCATAGATTCTTTTAAAGGAATAAAACCTTAAATATTCATTAGAAAATTTCATCTAAATATATAAAATTACTTGTCCTGACTGACTGAATGACTGATTCATCATCGCCCAGAGCAAACCGCTGAACCTAAACAGGTGAAATTTGGTACACAGTTAGGGTGCCACTATGCAGACTCGAGCGAGCGAATTTTTCGAGCGAGCGAGAATATGTGACGAGAAGAGACGAGACGCGATAAATATCAAAACCTGTCAGATATGTGCGAGAACCAGGAATTCGCTCTAGCCAGCGTTATTTCTAGCTTCTCGTTTGTGCATGGTTTTCCTTTGCGAAAACTAAATCGCTCGCAACCTCTCGCTCGCTCTAAACTCGCGTCTACATAGTCGCACCCTTAGGATACGTCATGAAAGCGCGCACTAAGAAGGGATTTTTTGAAATTCTCCAGCGGGGGGAGAAGGAGAGTATTAAGGCTTAACCGGAAGAACGGCTTCTACTGTACTATTTTAGATGCTATTTTTTGTAACGTTTAGTCTTCATTAAGTACTTAAGTTTATAATGTCGTTTATATTACAATTGTGACCGTAGGGTCGGTGTCTCTTTGACACTACGTCAGAAGACCTGAATCTGACACCACCGAGTCTCGCAGGACTCGGAAATCGCGACGTTACGTCACGCGAGTGGTAGCGGGTGAGCGATTGGGTTCGGAGTAGAGGTGAGGAGAAAGACAAGGAAACGACTCACTCGGATTCCATATTTTCTAACAAATAACAATGTTAATAAGAACCAAAGACAATACAGAGATATCGGGCATATTATCGGGCTTAACTATTCTAGGCCGTTGAGAGAGAGAGTTTACAACCGAATCGCGGGTTGATAAATACCTTTCTTCTAGGTTGCAGATCTGTAGTATGATGACACTGTTGACGCCGATGAAATGTTCGCTCAAAATAGTTCTGGGTCTTGTCCGTTAATAGGAGCACTACGATGTGACGGCACGGAATTGGGGATGATATCTTTAAAAAGGCACGATCTTTGTCACGGGTTGAATTCTGGATTCTTGGACACAGTGTTAATCCTTGAGGACGACTTTGGTGGACGGACTTTGGAAGACGACTGACCTCGGGTGTTTTTTTTTTTTTTCATTTTCTCTTGTTATGTCTCTTGGGTTTTTCCATGAGGTCAGATGGTTGTTGTTAATGGTCTGGCGTCCAATATGGGCATTCTATCGAAAGTTCCGGGTGACACATCGCTGACTAGATGGATCCTCCTCAACAAGGAACCAACTCCGTGGAAAATAAATTTTTATGGCTTTTAGCCTAACGCTCGATTTTATATGATGAAATGTTTTAATAATTAAAATTTAAAATAACACTTTATTAAGGGTCTGTTCGTCCCTCACACAATGAAGTGTAAAGAAAGCTTTGTGTCGTTTATATTACACTTCATTGTGAGAAATAATGAAATAAGATGTGTCGCGGTTTCGTGTAAAGAAACTTGAAGAATTATTAAAGTTATAATCAATAGCGAAATTACTGGCCTTAAATAAATTGGCATTAATTCTTTTTATCTCTGTCCTTACTGTTTTACATTTCTGTGTCTATATTATCTACTTGGATCTTGTTTATTAATTACACAGGCGTAATTATAACGAAAAAAACTTAAAATAGTTATGTTAAGCTATGCTTTTTAGATACTTTATATCGATATTGGTGTTGTATTAATATTAGACAATGAAGGAAATGTAAGTAATTTTATTTTTTATCTTAAATTGTTGGATGTAATATCATTGTTTTAAAAAACTTTTTATATCATTGTTATAGAATGTTATAAACCTGTTGAAGAAGGGCTTTCAGGTCCGAAACACAGAAAATAAGTGTACTGGTACAGATCAAAATAAAGATATTTCATTTTGACTAAGATCTCCTCTCTTTACTAATCATAAACAACACCAGTGTAATAAGTCGTATTAAACAAGTTTCAAGTAGACAATATAGACAGAGAAATGTAAAATGTTCTCATTAATTCATCATACACAAAAATCGCCTGATGAATTTAGTACACGCTTTTTTTTATAAGTAATTATAATTTTAATATTACGGATTGAACTATTACTAGAATTAATAATACGATGCCATTATGACCTACGTAGGAGGTGGAGTTGGCTGAAGGTAGCCATTATCTGATTATCACACAAAATGTATTAAAGTTAAGAGGATATATAACCTGCTAATATTACGAGTATTCCTCCGAAGACATAAATGAGTCAATCACCCATCCAGCAAATAAAGGGAGTAATCTAAGACTCGTAGCTATTTTGGTTTCAACCAGAATGATGAAAGATGAGGCTTTGAAAGGCTGGTAAAACTCGAAATTATGTATTTTTGTCCTTTCTACACGAACATTATGACGATCTAAAAAACAGATTTCTGGGATTCTGTTTAATTAATAATGGAAAAGGTAAAATTTCACTCCTCTGACATTGTTACATCCCATTTGATGGACTATTTCAAATAATTACCATTATACTCACCACGGTTTAATCCTATTAACGAATGCTTCTCCGCATATAAAAACAGATGCTACAATGTCACATCGATGCGTGTCACCGATCCTGCCACTCATACAATGAATTCGGACATTGAATTCCATCTCTTTACCTGCATACAAGAGTGATACTCCATAGAATATGCGATGCACTACCGTCAGTATAACTTCATCGAACACTAACTGCCGAAATCTTATTTGTGAAGTAGTCTTCCCTTCCAGAGTAAGAAGTATCTATTTTATGTAATCTGTGCCCATCTTTATATAAGCCAGGCAGTATAAGTTTTGAATTCGAAATGATCGCAAATAAAACTCAGCTTCTTATAGTATTTAGTGAGAGTTTCTTCTTATGTAAATTTCCATAATGCGACAGAATAAAAAAAGTTAGAGTATTTATACAAATTCTAATGAGGTCCGGATTCTACGGTTTCATCAGAAGCAAAAAAGTTAGAGTAATTTTTGCCAGAGTCATGTACTTATCTGTCCGTAATTAGGAATAATCATTCCGTTAAACTGTGGAATTAAAATTTTCTCTAATGTTATATTTCCTTCCACGCCATAGGCCGAAGATACCATCGTTGGCGCAATCTTTTCGATCATCTTCTCGTTCGAGCAAAATGCAATTTTCACGAGAGGGAATGCAGAAAAAAAAAGCAGTTAGTTCATTGCTTTTTTCTGCGTGGAACATTTCTATGAAATTAATCCGCAAATAATTGCAAAGTACTTCTGCATTTGTGATACACGTATGTTCATTTGTCAAATCTCTCAGCTAAACTCTGCCAAGTGGTGTAAAAATGTTTCGATGAATATACCGGCAATTTGATATTTTTCATGGCAAGTTCGGTATACTTTTATAAATCACAGACATAAAAAGCGTCAAATGTTTTTAATTAAAACATAAAAAGTAGTTTACATTATTTATATATTAATTTATTACTTCACAGTTCTTTTCAATTTCCAAAGTATCGTATTACGGCACTATGCAGGACAATTTGGAAATTTGTTTCACTACCCGCATGTCGAGTGCTCAATAGCGATTTTAGTCAACAACATTAGATCTAATTGGCAAAATGAAACACATTCGATTAAAATTAGAATTTAATTTACAATTAATCAATTAGTTATGTAAATCGTTGAATAAAGTACTGTACGTACAGAAAAATAAATTACAATTAATAATGTCAATAATCAATTCAAGAGCATCAAACGATTAATAAATATACATAACAGAGGGGAAGTAAAAGTCTTTTCACTGGAACAAAGAACGAAAGACCTTAGAAAGGAGAGAGACGGTGATAAACATCAATTAAACTGTGGGCAAGAGTACTGAAATGACGGTTAAGGTCAAAATCTGCTTTAACCAGGGTGGGATATGCTTTTGAAATCATTGCGTAATAACATCCTCGCCCGTTCGTTACAAATAACCGCTTTAATTAATACCTACGCAAAAAGTTACGCGTAGGTAAATCATTTTTCACTTTCCAGTGAAAACAATTTTATGAAGGAAAATGAATTTAACAGACTTTGGATTAAAAACTCTCGTCCTTGTAGAAAAAGATATAAATTCATTTTTATTCTCAAATATTTATAGAATATGCTGAAAGAGGGGCCAATGAGTATATATTACTCAATGTGCATTTATAATACAGTAATATTTTAATATATTCTGTACTATGTAAGTTCATTATTGGCAAATTATCAATGACGACAAATTAGAAATTAATACTTTTGTGTTCATTTGTGTACATCCACGGGGTAGTTACTTACGTCTTCATACTAGCAACAATATTTAATGCTGTGATGTTAATTAACTTATGTCATAAAATAATCGTTTAATTTCAGAATTAAATGAATAAACTTTATTGAATTTTTAATTATTTTCTAAATAATGAAATAGAATTAAACATTTCATAGGATATTTTCCTTTAACTTTATTTAATTTATTACTTTAAAAAATGATTTAAAAATTTACTATGAACGAAGTTTTAAACTTCATTTTGTATTTTTATTTTTTTCCCATTTATCTTCTAATTTTATTAAATAAAGACGGTTAATATTCGTTGCTTCAATTCTAAACATTGAAATTGAAGCAACGAATATTAACTGTTTTTGTTTAATAAAATTAGAAGATAAATGTAAGTGCAGTCAAACCTCTCAGTAACGGCCACAAACGTAAAAATGGCCGTTATTCGGAGGTTATTTTGCATTTTTGTTACGAAAAAAGTTCCTATAAAAATGCAGTTTGCAGATGCCCGTTATCGGAAGTTCGACTATATTAATTTACACTAAAATGAATATTTCGAAATATTAGAAGACATTATGAAATATACATTGAAGGAATTATGTTATTAATATAAATTAATTTATTCTCATGTAATTACTGAATAATTTTCCTCAACTTTTCTTCGAACAAACGAAATAAATTACGATTTAAAATACTCTTATGAAAGGTTTCTACATATATATATTTATTTTTTAAGTTTTTAAAATGTTAAATTAAATATCGTTTGAAAAAATGCTTATGTTAATAATTTCTGTTTGTATTTACAAACTATTTTTTAACTAATTTTTTACGAATAACTTATTTAAGCAGCACATTGATTAAAGATGCGTTTGAGTGATCTTCATATAATTTACGTTTTTTTCCTACCAAATATCAATAAAATGTTTAGTTTATAACCATAATATGAAACAATGCTATATTTTGAAACGATTCACTAAAGTTTCTTTTCGATAAATGAATCAAACTGCCTCGTTTACATCTCTTCCTCTTTTCTTATTTATATAATTATTTAATTATAAAAAATTATATTACTTTTCATTTAAAATATAATATTTTTGTGTTAAATTCTAGTATGAAACTAAAATTATATATTTCTGGAGTGATTAATAAAAGAAAGTTCAAAAATTCGATATTCGCGATCATATTTTATTATATTTTATAAGTCGATATCAATTAATGCAGAATTTCAAATGATATAATTTCTAAAGTGAATGCACTGTTAACCTTGCGTACTTAGAATGTCAATTGAGAAGCTGATAATGTATGGTGGGTTGTTTAGAAATCATTTATGACGACACGAGATTCCAAGTCTTAGTTTCTGTACGTAACTTCTACAGGAGGAAAGTATTTCTAATTATTTTATCTTCTCGCGTTGTCAAATATTTAACAGAAATTTATCTTCTATTGCAATTAAATAAATATAAAATGGAATATTAATTCGTGCATATCGAAAGAAAATAGCAGATGTTTTTCTTTATAATTACTTCACCTGAATAAGTGGGATGCAGTTGTTTCCAGAGTTATTTTAGAAGTTTACTCCTATTTAAATCATTTAAAAATTTTTTAACGTACAGTTTTTATCATAAAGATTTTTATTAATACTAAAATGCGGACTGTCTGTTATTAATATATTATATAAAACCAAACCTCATATTTATAAGTTCATAATACCCTTGAAAAAAATAATTGAAAAAGGAATAATTATTTAAAAGTAAACAGTAAAAATTAATTCGCCATGTTTACAAGACATTAAAAACATTTTGACTATCTTTAAGGGTTGCTTGTTTAACATTCATATGAGAGTCTGGAGACCAGCTAACCTATTTTACCCACATATTAAAGGAGATTTATTTAGATATTATACCAATTATTTAATAATTTAAAAAAAGTTATTTCATTGAGAAAATGAAACAAAATATCCTGTTACTTTCGAAATTAATAGAAAGAGGGAAATTCGAACTTCCTTTCTGTTTGTCAAGTTCCTATGGCGAGATCTTAAGTCACGTGTTGATAATGCATCTGCTAGTTCGAGTCACTTCTAAATCCCGTCACATGTGTGATACATTAACGCCTCATTGGAGGAGATTCGAGAATAAATAGGATAAATATCCCGTTTTCGGAGGTCTTCTCAAAGTTCGCTTGGTCTAGTCTGCCCTCACCAGTTCTTGTCTTCAATCTCTCGCTCTCCTCAAGTTCTTTTCGATCCCGTCCTCATCGCTTTTCTTTTCGGTGTGCTGAATTATTGCCGTTTTCAGTGTGTTCGAAGACATTCTTGTATTATCAAGAGGTATTATGCACTTATTATAAACTCTCTTTCTCGGTCAAATAGAGGTGTAATTAGTTAGTTTTGCTAGAGGTGTAATTACCTAGATAGATTTTAGTTTCTTTTTAATTCGCTCCATTTTACTTTTCCTCATTGAACTTTTATTTGTTTAAATGATCTAAGTAGAATTACTTTTAAAATCGGTCACCTTACCGCGGATCCATGATCCCTCTCCCTCGAAAAATTTTGAATATAGATCTTATCGCCCGTCAAGACGCGAATCTTCTTGCCTGGTGTCAGGTAAACGTTAACTGAAACTCCATCATCTGACCACAGGAGAGGGCCTAACCGTCCCGACTTCTCAAAAAAATGAAGAAATTAGGCTCTCTTCCCGCGGATTCTCATATTCATATAATATATACATAACATACTGAGATATATTACGTATTTGTGTGCCTACGATATAAACCAAATAAGTTACATTACATTTTCATGGCAGGCGCAGTTCATTTCTGACGTAAATTGCCATTCTTAATTTTATGAGTGACACACCTTCATAAAGTTTATCAGATGGATTGTGAATTTATGAGCTCGTAAATTTTAGGGAGATGAATAATTTAAGGTAGCGAACTGTATATAAAAGAATGCAGTGACCAAAGTATTTTGTACTTGTGTAGCACAAGCTGAACGATCATGAAAATTTGCATTGCGATACTTTTCGTTGCGTTATATTTGATGCCATCAGAAGGCCAGATAACAGAAAGATTGAGAAAAATTTACTGCGGTGAGTATCACAATATATATATATATATATAATAGTAACAATTGTTAACACCTATTAATAATAATTAATACCAATTTCAGCCATTGAAAACCAAGCGGCATTTCGTTTCTGTGCCATAGAAAATAACATAGATGTAGTGAGTTATAAATATTTTGCATAAAAATTTACCACAATTACTGTAAATTAACGTAAACTTTAATTTCGATTTGATATTTCTAGGGATTAAAATTATTTCGAAATTGCATGCATCGGATAAAAAAGTTTTATACCTTAGAAGAAATAAGTGACTACGCATGCAATAGTATAACTGATGAGGTAATTTATAATTTTGGATAATCATAATTATATTTTTCAATTTTATTTAAAGATGTATTCATTTTTCAGGAATTTGAAATTTTCAAAAGTTGTACGGATTATGCTATAGAGGCTGAAATGAAGTATAATGCAAATTTTATGCCTATTATTGAGGTGAGAAATATCATGTAATTATTTGCCAAACTTGTCTGTAAAATTTGAGAATATTTTCAGAGCTTATCTTTATATATATTTAATTTTGTTTCTCATGTAGCGATGCTTAGCAAGTGAGAAAAGGTAAAATGTGCAGCTCAGGAAAGTGTCGGCAGTATATTAATGCCAGTTTTTTATATTATTATAATCGGAATTAAAAATGTCTCGTGGTAGCGGTAGCCATTTTTTAAACGAAATAATGTGAATTGCTTAAAAGAAATAAACTTTTTCAATGTATTGATTCAAAGTGTTAAGTATTTTTTATAAAATACTGTTTGGTATTTAAATAGTAGTTATTTAAGTAAATTTGATAAAGGAAGTTATAATTATACATTATTTAAATATATTCATTCATGTCGGCAAAGGGACACAAATTCAAATAGCCATCCGCTAATACAAGGAATGTTTAATCAAAAACAACGCTATAAACCTATATATCAAACAAGTAAAATATATTTAAAGCCGATTTCGGCCTTTAGACTCATGTATGTGTTTGACGGCTTAAATAACAAATCAGTTAAAGTCAAATTTTTAAATTAGATAATAAAAATAACAACGTAGGCTAATAGAAAAACTTCCATTTCTCTGAAAACTTTCAGGTGAGTTTGAGTGTTTATATACGGCACTTCTAACATCCATAGTTTCTCAACGACCATGACTTTATTCGCTTAATTTACTGTTAGGTATGCATTTCGGAACGACGTATACTTTCGTTCTCTCTTCAGTGCTATATCGGTTAACGAAGGAGCGCGACTACATCGGCCGACGAGAAGAAAATCCAGCAATCAAGCGATGGATACCGTTCAGCATAGTCGCGGAATTCGACTGTTTGATTTTCGATATTGTGCTAAAAGAGGACAAAGCCAACACACTCCGGCATAAAATTCTATAGCTTGTCCGACCTACGTGTTTTGGCGCCATTAAAACCGTGTTTGGAGGTAACGCTGGTTATAATCATTTGACACATTCTGGCATAATTAGCCCATTTCTGAATATCGAGTCTCTAACATCTCCGGCCAAACCGAGATTCGTATTTCGCCATTACGCATCGAATTGCGTGGGGGCAACGCCAATTTCCTTACAGAGTGTGATGTGACTAGCCTGCTCCCAGTATTGAACTACGCAATGTCGAATATCTAATATTCCAGTAACGTTTTAGAAAGTGGCTAATTATGCCAAAGTGTATCTGATATACGCCACTTATACACTTTTAGTTACCGTAAATACTATTTGATTAGTCTTTCCACTAAATAATTTACTAATTGATTAATTTAAACGTCGATAAAAAACTTTAAAGTATTTTGATTCGTTCACAAATTTTCCGCATTGTGCATCCCGCGTGGATTAATGTAAAGGAATGGGTTCACGTTCTGTACATACATATATTTTACTTTTCCAGCTCTGTTAAATATAAGAGGGAAAGTATGGCGATTGGTCAAAACACGACCCCCATAGATTTATATTTTTTGAACTCAGGAGATCTTAAAATGTCGAGAAATGCAAAAAAGCTTCGGGGGGGTTTCTTTACATATGTATGGATGTTAGTGTGTAGGGGTGAGATTTGTTTACCAATTTGATAACTCACGCTTAATAACTCCCATGCTTTTTATCGAAAATTTCTGAAATTTTACAAGGAAGTTTGTGTATTAAGCGGATCGATGTTGTTAACTTTTGGTGGTTAAAGGTCGAGGGGTGGGGAGATGAAGGGAATCGTGTGTGGTATCTCAAGTAGGGTCGGATTTTATGACGATTTTATTCATTATTAGCATTTACAACTTTTAATAAAACTCGTCCCCTACCCTCAAAGTTAAGATTTTTGCCATTTTATAATAATTAAAAATATAAAAACTTTTTAAATAAAATATTGCAACAGATGGCGCCAAAACACGTGTGTAAAGTACTGTAAATCGTTGCTGTATTGTTTTATTTTATTTTCCTGGAACTATAACAATAATTTATCCATTAAAAATTTCAATCATTACTTTTTCATAATCTCATCAATTTTGATAATGCTGATAACTCAAAATTTTTATTGTTAATTATTTCATGTTTTAGAAGTTATATTTTCGTTTACTCTACTTAAATCAGTTTTAAATTATTTTTATTAAAAACCTTTATAAATTTAACATATTCAGCGTATTTCTTATTGATTATATTATTAACTGGAATTACCAAAGTACATCTAATCTATCTGTAAAATGCACCAATACGAAAAGATTACTTTTTCTCGATAATATTCGTGTGTTAAGCTATACAGTATTTTCGTTAATTAATTAATACATTTGATATATAAGGCTATAGAAAGACACAAATAAATAACTCTTAGAAGAAGAATGAGGCAAATGTGAGGCTGTCGATAAAGGCTCAAAGTAGATCAGGACGGAAGAGAGTGAACGGTCCTTGTAGGTATGACTGACACTGAGACAGTATCGACGGTTAAAAGAAACTGTATATTCTGTAAGAAAGGAGCTTACGAGATTTCCGCCATCTTTCGAGATGACGGAAATCTCGAAAGATTGGAAGCTTGGAAAAAGGAAGACCAGAGACCACCCCTGACTTGAAGGAGTGTCCCGATTGGCGAGTGAAAGTTCCTTCGACGATGCGGTAGACTTCCGGTGACGGGAAGATGTCGATCCCAGGACGCGTCCAACAAACCGTCGGATACTTGGAAATCTCGGAAGAAGCCGTCGCATCCATCAAATTCGGCAGTTTTATTATTTTCTGCTATTGATCTCCTATTTTCCTTGTTTTCGGTTTCTAAGTGGTCGGCCACTGGTTGCTAAGCGTGACGATATCTAACTTACATGGCGGGAGAGGTCAAAACCTACGTTTAAATCGTTCCCAACCGGAGATAGTCGACCTTACGACTTACATTCTTATTGTTTATACGTTCGCGTCGCTTTTTTCGTACTAAAAACATCATTTCTATCTCATTTTTTCATTTAAAAATATTTTAACGCGAATTTTAATGATGGGTTCAGGACTGTCGAGAGCCTCACACAAATAAAATGGAAGATGAGATAAAAGACTGACAGGGAAAAGACTCATTAAGTAGGCAATTCATATAGAAAAGTCTACAGTAAAACTGTCGACGACCTACAGCATCCTGAATAGAAGATGCTACAAAAAATAAAAAAGTGTGGGCTTGGGGCCGTCAAAAATTGGATTACGAGAGTTTAGGGTAGGACCTTGTCTCTGGGTGTGTGTTGTCGAACACACTCCTATTTAGATTAAAAAAAAAAAAAAAAAAAAGGCAGAACAAGGGTAGAAGTTACTCCGAAGTCCAGGAATGAGCCTCTCAGGAGAATGAATGAAAAGTCAACTAATTTACGAATAAAAGAAAAAAAATGTATTATAGAAAAACGAAACTTAACATTTGAACTTAGTTTAGTTTAATAGTAAGTATGAAATCTGTTTTAGAAGGGTAGCCTATTTCTATTTGTAAAACGAGGAGTACCTAGCGGGGGTATCTGAACTTCCCGACTCACAACATACCAGGAAAAAAGTTGTCTTTTATATTATTTTTCTTTTTATAGATGTGTTGATTTTCTTTTTTTCTCTCTCTTCTTTCTTTTCCTCTCTTCTTTTTCTTCACTTTCTCACTCTTTCACTTTCTCTCCCTTTCTTCTTCATCTTTTTGTGTTATTTCCCCTTCACTCAGTCTCTCACCAAGTCTTTCATTAAGTCTCTGTGATTTTCATCATTCCTTTTTTATTGTATTCTTCGTTTTGACCAATCATGATTTTGTTCCGGAAGAAGTTAAGGTAATTTGCGCTAACCACAATTGGTCATCCAGTAGTGCTCCTTCTCTCTTGTCTATTAAGAATTAGATGCTTCGACGTGACATGGATAGAGTAGCATCTATCATCTAACACCATTGAAAAAGGACGAAACGACGGTCATCCTCTTTGTCTTTTCCTTCCTATGTACTATGTTGTGAAATTTATAACAATTAATTGATAATTTTTTTATTCTAATTTGTTCCTCTGAATTATTTTTAACCGGTATTACTAAATATTTAGAAAGGGATCCCTAAAATCGGAAAAATAGACGAAATTCCTTTACAGAATTGGTTGATAAACGTAAACAATACCGGTGTCGCGTTTATACACACATCTTCGAGATGTGGATGCAAAGGGTGTCCTGTCTGAGAGCAAACGATTGTTTACTGCACAATCTGACAAAACAAAAACGGGATATAAAATACATATATAGTTTAAAAATACAATAAAATTTCCAACTAATTATTTAAGAGAATACATTATTAGCTAAAAGATTAAACCTACTGATGAATGGCTAGTAAAAATTATAGAATGGAATAAATATTTCGAAATATATCACGGTGAATCGTATAAAAAAGACCCCGGAGTTGTACAGAATTAGTCAGTGGAAACAGTTTTACCTTTTACTTTAATAAAAGATTTTTGTAAATTAAGAACTATAATAAGAATTAATTATAGAAATCTTAAACAAGAAAACTATAAAATATTGAAAAGAATGCCTTCTGAAAATGGTGATTGTCGAAAAAAAATTAAAAAGTTAAGTAAGATAATCACATAATAAAAAATACAGCTCATTAATTTGTTAAATAAATGTTAGACAAAAGACTTGTAAATTTATTTACGTACACTTATTAAATCCGAAAATTCTATAGTAGTTTACAGTTAGTAGTAATTTAGTAATTAATTAAGAAATGATTAAGTATTTTATCGTATTTTGTTATTTGAAAGCATCTGTCATGTTGAAGTAGAGGGCTTGCTGTGACGACACATAGATCCAAGGTCACGCTAACAAATATACGGGATCTGGCTATCCTCTGTAGTTTAAAGTTCTTGGGCTATAGATTGGTTCGGTTAGGCTTTTGTTTAAGTAAAATTTCGGCTTTTTCATCAGGGTTTTGTTTATGTCCCCAATTCCCTAATCGCTTAATTATTTAACTACTTCTTAAGTAGAAGTAAGTCGAAACCAATTACTTTGTACTCGAATATTTGTAGTCTCGGGAAAAAGTGGAAAGACAAATTTTTATGACAAACAGATACATAAATCGTAATTTAAAAAAAATAAATTCTAGAGCTTTTTCTGTACCTCGTGCATCTCTCTCATTCATTAAATTTAGTTGTAAATTATGCTACCAAAGTAACAGTTAATTTTTTTTAACGTTATACAAGAATTGTACACTTTTTTCTACATCCCCTTACAG